GTAGTGTCACTGTCCTGGGAGAGGTAGAGGGGGTCACTGTCCTAGGAGTGAAGGAGTGAGGGGTCAGGAGTGAAGGTAGTGGAGGGGGTCACTGTCCTGGGAGTAAAGTGGGTGAGGGGTCACTGTCCTAGGAGTGAAGGTAGTGGAGGGGTCACTGTCCAGGAGTGAAGGTAGGAGGGGTCACTGTCCTGGGAGTGAAGGTAGTGGAGGTCCTGAGTGAAGGTAGTGTAGGGGGTCACTGTCCTAGGAGTGAAGGTAGCGGAGGGGTCACTGTCCTAGGTGAAGGTAGCGGAGGGTCACTGTCCTGGGAGTGAAGGTAGTGGAGGGGTCACTGTCCTAGGAGTGAAGGTAGTGTCACTGTCCTAGGGAGTGAAGGTAATGGAGGGGTCACTGTCCCAGGAGTGAAGGTAGTGTAGGGGTCAGTGTATGGAGGGGTCACTGTCCTAGGAGTGAAGGTAGTGGAGGGGTCACTGTCCTGGGAGTGAAGGTAGTGGAGGGGTCACTGTCCTAGGAGTGAAGGTAGCGGAGGGTCACTGTCCTGGGGAGTGAAGGTAGTGGAGGGGGTCACTGTCCTCACTGTCCTGGGAGTGAAGGTGCGGTAGCGGAGGGTCACTGTCCTAGAGTGAAGGTAGTGGAGGGGGTCACACTCACCCAGGAGTGAAGGTAGTGGAGGAGCCACTGTCCTAGGAGTGAAGGTAGTGGAGGGGGTCTCCTAGGAGTGAAGGTAGTGGAGGGGGTCACTGTCCTAGGAGTGAAGGTGGAGGGGTCACTGTCCTAGGAGTGTAGGGGTCACTGTCCTAGTGAAGGTAGCGGAGGGGGTCACTGTCCTAGGAGTGAAGGTAGTGGGGGGTCACTGTCCTAGGAGGAAGGTAGTGGAGGGGTCACCAGGAGTGAAGGTAGCTAGGGGGTCAGTGTCCCAGAGTGTAGTAGGAGGGGTCACTGTCCTAGGAGTGAAGGTATGGAGGGGGTCCACCGTCCAGGAGGAAGGTAGCTGGAGGGGTCACTGTCTAGGAGTGAAGGTGGAGGGTCACTCCTGGGAGTAGTAGAGGGGGTCACTGTCCTAGGAGTGAAGGTAGTGGAGGGTCACTGTCCTAGGAGTGAAGTGAGGGTCACTGTCTGGGAGTGAAGGAGGAGGGAGGGTCACTGTCCTAGGAGTGTCCTAGGAGTGAGGGGTCACTGTCCGCGGAGGGTCACTGTCCCAGGAGTGGAAGCGGAGGGGTCACTGTCCTGGGAGTGAAGGTAGTGGGGGGGTCACTGTCGTAGGAGTGAAGGTAGCGGAGGGGTCGGAGGTACGGAGGGGTCTGTCTGGGAGGTGAAGGAGTGAGTGGAGGGGTCACTGTCCTAGTAGTGAAGGTAGCTGGAGGGGTCACTGTCCCAGAGTGAAGGTAGTGTAGGGGTTACTGTCCCAGGAGTGAAGGTAGTGTAGGGGGTCACTGTCCTAGGAGTGAAGGTAGCGGAGGGGTCACTGTCCTGGGAGTGAAGGTAGTGGAGGGGTCACTGGGAGTGAAGGTAGCGGAGGGGTCACTGTCCTGGGAGTGAAGGTAGTGGAGGGGTCACTGTCCTAGGAGTGAAGGAGCGGAGGGTCACTGTCCTGGGAGTGAAGGTAGTGGAGGGTCACTGTCCTAGGAGGTCATGTCCTCACTGTCCTAGTAGTGAAGGTAGTGGAGGGGTCACTGTCCCAGGAGTGAAGGTGCGGAGGGGTCACTGTCCTAGGGAGGAAGGTAGTGGAGGGTCACTGTCCTCAGGGAGTGAAGGTAGTGGAGGGGTCACTGTCCTAGGAGTGAAGGTAGGAGGGGTCACGTCCTAGGAAGGTAGCGGAGGGGTCACTGTCCTGGGAGTAAAGCGTAGAGGGGTCACTGTCCTAGGAGTGAAGGTAGTGGAGGGGTCACTGTCCTCCGGGTAGAGGGGGTCACTGTCCTAAAGACGGTAGAGGGGGTCACTGTCCTGGGAGTAAAGACGGTAGAGGGGGTCACTGTCCTGGGAGTAAAGACGGTAGAGGGGGTCACTGTCCTGGGAGTAAAGACGGTAGAGGGGGTCACTGTCCTGGGAGTAAAGACGGTGATTTTTCCGCAATGGACCATAAATTTAACATGGCAAGTGAACAGTTGTGACAATATTCCCGCAATACATATATATATCTATCATCAACTTTGGGGTCATATATGCAATTGGTTTATTATAAATTATGCCAGAAGAAAAACTAAAACAAAATAAATTCCTATACTGTATTAAAAAGAAAAATATGAATAAATAAATGTTAAAATTCCAAGTCCTTCGTTACTCAATTGATAATTTTTTATTTTATTATTTTTTTTACCTGATTTTTAAATGATTGTTCGACTAGATACTGACTCTTTTTATGAATATATTTTTTAATTATGACTATATTGATAATTTCAATGCAGAAGGGTGTACAGTGTGTGTGTGTGTGTGGACTACAGTATATTTCTCTTATCTTATTTTCTTCCTGTGGCTGGCTGTGTTTATCATGTGCAGCTCCCTCTTTTATGGAGGTTTCTGTACCCCTTAAACTGTCTCCCCCTTTATGAAAGTTTCTGTACCCCTTAACCTGTCTCCCCCTTTATGAAAGTTTCTGTACCCCTTAACCTGTCTCCCCTTTTTAATGGTGGTCTCCCTACCCCTTAATTTATTCCATACAGAAGTAGGAGAGAAGTAAAAATAAAATGGCTGTGTAAATTTGTAAGACGATTTTAAACTGAGAGTAGAGTCCTGTTGGGCAGGGGTTTGTGAAGCAAACCTAACTGCCTGGGAGTGATGCAGGTATGTGGGTAGACTGAGTGGTGCCAGTGACCAATGGCTACAGTGTGTGAGAGAAAGAGCGTACATGTGTGTGTGTGTGTGCGTGTGTGTGTGTGTGCGTGTGTGCGCGTGCGTGCGTGCGTGCGTGCGTGCGTGCGCGTGCGTGCGTGCGTGCGTGCGTGCGTGCGTGCGTGCGTGCGTGCTTGTTTTTGCTCTGGCAGCAACACACTGTTCCTGGTAAATCTGTCTCTAGCTATATAAAGTTCACCTGAAGGATATTTTCAATGTGTTTTTGTTATTTATTTATTTTTTTGTAATTCTGCTTACCAGGAAAATTTGTGAGAATAATATAATGTTTTTGTATGCTCCATAAAAATTAGGGAAGCACTTCATTACTGCTTGATCTATCCAGCCATGGAGGTGTGCCCCGATAACTGGCACATACTGGGACCGGGAAAAATTATTGGTCAAGTGAATCAACGGTTATTGAAGCAGTTAATCCCTTAAGAACATAACAAATTCAGGGGTTAGGGATCGGCCACCCTCCAAAAACTCCCATCTACCTTTCATATATCTCTGTACAGTAGGGTCGGGATATGTCGCGAGATAGAGTCCAACGATGTTCGCTATATACCAAATCGCAATATTTAATCACATGTAATCAATGGGGAAAATAGGGTTAGGTTCTAGAGGCCAAAAAAATTACTGAACTTGACTTAACGAGTTTATTGTCTTACTAACTAAAGCACCAATGAACACTAGACTCGGGAACAACAGGCTATTTCAATATCAACATCAAGGAACACCAGACTCGGCAGTAGACGCCACACTGCCACCCTCACTTGACAATCCCACACCTACATGAACGAACACCAAAAATATTAGTTATAGTATTAAATATTTTCCATTAAAGCTTTCCATTTTCTTCACTTCACTTTTCACATCACTAGCAACCCATTTACACTCGCTTTAGAAATTGGAATCTGCACCACACTCGCCATCCCGAGAACAACAGACGACACACTGCCACCCGCACTTAACAGTCATAAACGAACAATCCAAAAATATTAGTTACAGTATTAAATCTTTTCCATTAAGTTTTCCATTATCCTCACTTCACCTCACACATCTCTAGCAACCCATTTACACTCACCTTTGAAATTGTAATGTGCAGCAGTTGGCTGCTTTCTCGTCATTCACTCAGAAAGACTGAGCGGGCGAGCGTGAATGCGTGAGTGAGCAGCCACGGTGCCGCCTTTGGTGAGCAAATATCGCATTTGTTTGCCTTGGCGGTACATTTGAAATATTTCCTGCTTGATTTCCCTTGCGAAATAAAAAAAATATCGTTATATGTATAGGAAAATGTTGATAATTTTGGTAGCCGCGATATAATTTTTTTGTATAAAGTCGCGATATATCCCTACCCTACTGTACTGTACACTGTCAAATAAGAAATTAAGCAGGTTGCTCGTTAACCGAAAAATTCGTTAACCCGAAACCATTGTTTCAATGGGTTTTTGGGTAATTGGTTCCAGCTCACCGAAAATTGCCTAAAGTCAACAAAACTATGATTGGGGCGTTTAGGCATGTTTGAGAAACACACTAAGTCAGATATAACGGAAAAAATGATCAGAGAAGCATAGTAGGTGTAAACAAAAACAAAGATGGCAGGAATGAGTCAGGGCAGAGTTGTATATAGAGAGAGTTCAGCCAACTGGGCGCCATGTTGTTACTCAGCGGGTGAGAAGTCTTCTCGGGCTCTCTTCCACGTAGTTTATAAACATGATTATCCAATTGTAAACATGTATGACAATTTTGCTGAATAAACATCATCATCATCCTCTACAGTACGAGCGCAAACTTCTTCAGCTCAGTAAGAACATGGCGCCTGGTTAGCTGAACTCTATCTATGGCTCTGAGTCAGGGCAGTGCATAGATCCCTCTGGTGGCAAGAATTTGCACCACACCACCACCCGCCAAATTCAAACAGCTCTGCCAATCGTTGGATCTCTGGGGTATTAATAAAACTTGCGTGGTATTTCCCAGATATGTAATTGTCGGTTAGGTAAATTGACGGTCGGCGAGATGTCGGTTTTCCGGGTACACCTGTACTGTGCAACACTTGTGTCTATCTCTTCGTTCAGCCATACAACAGTACTGTACATATAACCTTATTTTATTCCTTGTATATTTAGTGTTGGTCCTGTGGTGTATTAAACTTGACTTTCTTCTTGTTTCAGGTGGCTATCATCCTGTGAAGATAGGCGACCTCTTCTACAACAGATACCATGTGATCCGCAAACTGGGCTGGGGTCACTTCTCCACCGTCTGGCTCTGCTGGGACCTTCAGTGAGTAGTCCTTGTCATTGGTCATTATTTAACATGTAACTCAATTCACTTGGATTAGACTCGCAGTTTATTTCATCAGGATAAGACTCACAGTTTATTTCATTAGGATAAAACTCCCCATTTTATTTCATCAGGATTAAACACCCAAGTTTATTTCACCTTAATATTAGATACTCCAGTATATTTCACCTGGAGATTAACTACATTAAATATAAACAAACCCTTTAGGTAGCATTAGGGTGATTAATCTTCAGGTGAAAATATGCAGGGGGTGTCTAATCTTCAGATGATACTATTACTCTTTCACTGTTGCCAAAAATACAAACAACAAGATTCAGATTTGTGGACCTGAAGCAATAGGTCGATACATTATACTGTCCGTAAATGCTTTGGAGTCATGAGTGTGAATCTAGGGGTTAGTGGTTCAGGGGGAGAGGTGAACAAACTGAATAAACTTTAGTAGATGACAGTACAGTTGTGGAAATGTGTTCCTACACTCCCTGTGGTAACCTTGGTCTCCAAACTGCAACGTCTCAGTAGTAAGTTTGCTATGGGTCATATAGGTTGGCTGTTTGGAGAGACAGGTTACCACAGGGTGTGGGAACACATTTCTGCAACTGTAGAAGGTAAGGTAAATTTATTTCATCTTGATACAGTACGGCGGAGCTTCAGAAACAACTAGAAAACTAGAAACAAAAGATACTGTATGCAGTCATATGCTTGAGAGTAATGTATGGGGTGAATAGGAAATGAATGATAAAAATGGAAATAAGGTAAAGAAGAGTTAGGTACAGAGCAGGCCAAGGTCTGCCTAAGTGCGATGAAAGAAATGGAAATTATAATCCCAGTTTATTTAGTCAGAAAAAAATATAGATATAAAGTGAATAAAGACAATAATATTGACCTAGCTGAGCCTATTGAGTGCTGGAGCTCTCTTGGTGGGAGGTGAGAAATTGGTAAAAAGAGAGGATAAGTGAAAAGTAGATACAGTAATAGGAGGGAGAAAGGAAGACTATTAATATTGAAGGAAGTGGTGCAGGAGGTACCGTCACCTGCACTTGTACTGTACATGGTATAGTGGTGTCGCAGGGGCAGATCCAAGGGGGTCCTGACCCCCCTCCCCGTTTTCATCAGAAAAGTACAATACTTTTTCATTAATGCAGTACTTGTACTGTACTCTAAAGTATTTACTATTTACCTCAGAATCTCTCCTAATATCAAATGCACATGGCCTCAGGATGCCCATGATATTGGTCAGATTTAAAAAAATTTCCGGGGGAGCTTACAGCCCCCGCCCCCCCCTCCACTCAAAACCCCCCAGCTGGGTAGGCTTGCTGTGCTCGCCATGTTACCCCACCCCCAACTTTTTGGATGCCCCTTTTTTATATTCTTGAATTCACTCTTGTGTCACTTGACAGACCTACCGTGCGAAAATCCTTCAGGAAGAGCTCACTACGCATGTGTACCAAGTTCGTGAATATTAATGAGATTTCTTGCGACATTCCTTCTGCCGTGGTAGTGTATTTGTTTTTACACAATTCTTCATTATAAATATAGATTTTCTTTCAATGCGAAACAGTTTCTGTGTTCACAGGGAGAGCCAGAGAATACTGTAGCATGGTAGGTAATTAATTTTATCTGTGAAAGTAATGAATTTGGACAATATTTTGACCATCGACGATGGCATCGTCTGCTGACTGACTGACTATCCACCCACTGAAGAACGATATTAGTCTAGATTCAATGGAAATATTACCCAAGCTTTCCTAAACTATCCATGCTGATATGGCTTTAAATCATGCCATTCTCTATGAAAGTGCTTTGTTATCACAGGGAGCTACAAAATTTAACGATAAAGTAAAATAGGTGCCTCACTGACACCTATTTTACTTTGTTGCTAACTCACAAAAATTCTTCTTTTATTATTGCATAAAAACAAACATAATTGCTGAGCCTGGAAGGTTGGTCTCTCTGGAATAAATATCACATGGTAATGTGTGACAGAACTTCCTGCCAAAATTTGCACATGTGTGTACAGTATTATGCAACCAGAAGGTTTGTCACATGAGTGGCTGGCATGTTTGTTTACATCGTATTAAAACTCCCAAAACAGCATTAAGGAACCCCACAATATAACACTAGATAAGCATTCGACATAGTTGCCACATCTCACAAAATGCACCTACCCCTGTATCAGGTATAAGTGCAGGCAACTATATTTCTAGGAAGCAGCAGTGTGTGTGTGTGAATGACCAGAGATCAGGATATTGGTGATTTTCAGAGATGGATGTTTAACATCAGTTAAACCAGATAAATATTTGAGTCATTGTTGTTGAAGGGTAGACCTGAGTAGAATGCATTCACTACATTAGTAACAGTGAGTGAATGACAATGAATGAAGAGAGTGTTTATTCATATTTCCAGCCAGTTTTCATTAAAAAGGAGAAAGTTTTAAGAAGTGTATAAAAGTTAGTGAATTAAAATTTTCATGGTCATAGCAACAAGATGCTACTGTAGTTATAAAAGACTTTTTTATTTTTTTTTATTTTGAATTTGAAGGTCTTTACTCACTGTGAAGAAAATTAATTGTTTCAAATAACTTACCAAAATGCTTCTGGCTTTGAACACTTCTATTTTCTTGTGATTATTTGTTTTTCTTGACAGTTATAAAAGTTACCATCTTACTGATAAACATTACAAGGATTTATCTCTTAATTTCCAGAGCCAAGCGGTTTGTAGCACTCAAGGTAGTGAAGAGTGCCTCCCACTACACAGAGACAGCCCTAGATGAAATAAAGTTACTCAAATGTGTAAGTACAGTATCTCCTCAACATCATAATTCTTATTAATTTCATAGTTAGATCCACCAAGTACGTACAACTAAATACCCCTCTTGTACTGTACTGCACAATACTCAGAAAAACAGGTCAATGATAGCAGAAACAGTGATCAGCAGTACAGTGCAAGACGTCAACTCTGGCTAACCATTCATCATACCATCTCTTGTACAGTACTTTAATCTGGTCCTGTCTTATATTGGGTTTGGATAATATCTTATTCTATTTAAACCAATCATTTAGAGCTGACTAAGTGAGACAGTGTACTGTACCTTACAATACTGTACATTGATCCATAGATGTCCATGATATTTTTTGATGGCACATTGTAATGAGTTTTATGGCTGTAGTGAGTTAACTCAGTTTTTATATTTTTCCACATTCCCCCCATGTCTGTCTTGTTGAAATAATACAGTACAGTATAGTAAAGGTTAGCTACTGACTCGTGTCTGATTCTCGATTGTGTTTCCAGAGCTGAGTATAGATTGTTTGTGTACAGTACTGTACTATACTGTACTGTAACCACAATATTTCTGACCACAGGTGAACTAGCCAAACTCACCTTAACCAACCAACTCTGTATTAGGTTATATTTAGTGTACTCTACTCTACTGGTACAGTATTATAAAACTACAGGCTGTACAAAAGAGAATAAGTAGGGAACTTTTTTAATAATGTATTGCAAATGTCAACTTAGGGAATCAAACCCACATTTTTATGGATAGAAATTTTGAGTATTATACAGTACAGAACAGTGCAGTATAGCAAAGCAAGATGTCCTCTTCAGAACCTGAATAAGGAATCTTTTTGTAATCTGGATGTGACTTCCAAAACAGTTAGCAGATAAGTGTAGTTGTAGTGCTGCATAAATACCTTGCATTTTTTTCCAGTATATATACAGTATAAACAACCATGACTTGGCCATTATTTTAGTACCGAGTCGTTTGTTTTTCTTGCAGGTTCGAGAATCCGACGAGAACGACCCAAAGAGAGATAAAACAGTTCAGCTATTAGATGACTTCAAGATCAGTGGTGTGAATGGAACGCATGTGTGTATGGTGTTTGAGGTGCTGGGCCACAACCTTCTTAAGTTTATCATCCGCTCCAACTACCAGGGAATCCCCCTCGCCAACGTAAAGAATATTATCCGTCAGGTAAATATACAGTACCTTTTTGTATGATTCCTCAGGTGTTAATAGGGTTCCTCTTCACATGTAGTACTGTACCACTTATCAATGGCTCTAAGTGTCATTGGTATTGTTTAACTTTGCCATTACAGTTGTTTATCCTCAAATAGAATACAGTACAGTACAGTATAATATACAGTACAGTATAGTCTGCATTTACGCGGATTTTGTTAGCGCGTTTGGTCATTTTCGCGGTGCCTTGCCAGAATGAAAATGCTTTAATTACGCGGTAAATTTGGTCATTTATGCGGCGAGCGGCTGGAAAGGTCCAGACTGCCGCACCATTTTTTACCCACGCGGTCCATTCTTGACCATACGCGGGAAGCGGCGTAGTGAGTGGTGCGCATTAGGCCGCTCTTACGTTATCGCTGACGTCATATGACGTATCGGACTGTGATTGGGCCACGCATCCTTACTTCCCTCCTCCGCTAGCTGTGATTGGTCTAATGTAACACAACGTGCCCTGCCACCAGAGGGTAGAAGTCTCTGACCTAGCAGGGCCTGTCTCATTGTTCTCAATCTGCGTATACAGTTCTCTCTTGTGCCTGCTATTCCTCTCACAACTCACAATGGCTTCCGCGGGACCCCCACCACCAGAGAAAAACATTGAATTACCTGGACCAAGCCATGATAATGTGAAGGAAATCATCGAGTTGGGGGGGAAACTTAAGCGCATCCTTGACAACGACCCAGACAAGCATCGGTATGATGCGTCTAATAACCATCTGACGAAAGTTATGGAGCCGTATATCCAGATCTATCTCGACAGCATCAATGCTAGTCGTCAACGTAGTATTGAGGACTTCCTCGCCCGCAACCCACCACAACCACCCCATGTCAGTGGTAGTGATATTGACAGTGAGGATATGGACTTTGAGAGGTTTGTCTGGGAGGCCCTGCAAACCTTTGCGAGTAGTAAAAGTGAAAGTGATTCACCGGAGGGCAACTAATCTGCCCTCTGCCTCGGAACCAGCCGCCATCCACGTGTGCCGACCCAGCTTTTCTACTAACGTAAGTGTTAAAAAACCTAATATTATTGATATTTCTCTTAATTATTAATTGTGTGTGCATACCATCATAAAATTAAGATGTTATTTTTGCTACAAGGTACGTACAGGAATTGTGTCAGAAAAAGTGGAGTTTGGGGGTCGGCCCAGTCTCTCTTTCAATTAATCCCATATGTTCTGTTATTTCATTTATGCATTTCTCGTTTTAAACGGTACTCCACTGGTTCAATTGACCGCGTAAATGCAGACAATACTGTACAGTACTATCTTCAAACTGTTATTACCATAAGGGTGGTCACTGTTGTGCTTTGGCTTATTCACACCTCTGCTAGTGTAAAGTCCCTCTGTATGTTTATGATAGATTTTTGTAACCAATCAATCAATTGCAATAAAGTATGTTACATAGCCTATACCTGTACGAGTACTAAAAGTTAGCTGGGTTAATTGTTAATTATTTTCATCAGGATTATAATGATAGATTACAGTATATAGAACTAGTTTTACCCGGTCACCACAAACTTTAGCTCTCATTGAGTAGTTATGTATATTTATTTTGGTGTCCAGTGTACTGTATATACAAGTACACAGTCCTTTTCTTAATTTAAACTAAGTGATAATTGCTGGAAAATCATATTTATAGTGAATTAGTTTTGAGAAAACCTAATCCACCATAATAAATGATGGATCGCATTCTAAATCCTCTATCCTAGACCCAGTATTTTCATGAAGGGACATAAGACAGAAAATCAAATCAAATCACAATATGTAGTGTACTGTACTTCGTACCACAGTGTCCACATGCTCTCAATTTGCCTCTCATGCTGCAGGTTGTCTTCAGTGACAGTGAAATTAACTGAACCACTCAGCTCTTAATCCTGTTTACATCCTTTAAAATGAGTGTACGGTTGATTTGTTGATGTTAAACACACGGCCGAGTGCTGAGTCTTGCTCCCCCCTCTCAATTTGTCTAAGCTCTGTACAGTATATGCAACTTAGTTCCTAAATTAAGATATTCTTGAATTTTAGGAATAATTGTAGAATATTTGAAGGTGCCACGATACTAAATGAATGGAGTACACAAACAAGTGGGGAGAGTGAGAGAGAGAGCAAGAGGAGACTTGTTACAGTGAACACCACATACAGTATATAATGGCTGGAGTTAGACTGCCCATCCCAATTCATTTTAAGACCCACAATCACTTTCACCTCAGCCACAGGGAATACAAAATGACTCGATGCATGCACTTTGAACCAAGGATAATATAGTAGTAAGGATAGTTCATCAAACACTTGTTTTACCCACAATGCACAGCTCTGTGAAGCCAATGTTGTAAACTCGCATCATCTGGTGACCTCCGTGTGTGCCTGCTTCTGCTCCTGGGACCAGTGTATCAATAATTATGGTTATTTGTGCAATATATGGGTGCACCAGCAAAGCTCAAATCCCAAGCAGAGAGCACATCAAGTATTACAGATTTCCCAGAGATAAGAAAACTTGTGATAAATGGATAAATGCCTACAAGCGCTCTGATAAAATAACACCACATTAGACTAGCCGAGAACTTATTTGAAGACAGTTCATATTTCTTTTGTCTCCTTAATTCTGGAATTTCTGTCGATATCCAGGTATCTACAGGAAGGCGAGATATTCATCTTGCTATATGTGGCCAAAAAGAACTCTGAACATATTTAATAATCTTGAAAAAATGTAAGTTAAGTACAGTACATCGGTACGTGGGTTTCAGGTGTCAACACTTAGCTTGTTTAAAGACGATAGGGGATTTCTTGTAATTTTTAATTCTACAATGTCAGTCCGTATCAGGTCATCCAGAAGACCGTGAGACATTGTTCTTGCCACGTCTGACAAAAGAAAACAATAATATTGCCCAGAATATAAGAAAAACCAGAGTTACATCACTTAATTCACCGGCGACGGTCGCGAAACTTGCTCTATTTTCTCTAGTAAACATTGTAAGGCAATATCCAACTGTCCAGATAACCATGTCTGGCAAAAGGAAAATCTTTGCATTACTACTAATAAGCTTAGAAATTTAATTGCTTTGTCCATGTCATCAGCAAAAAATCCCCGATGTTTCCTTTTTCCAATATCACTTTTTTTTTCGAGGACTGAGAACATAAGGCATTCATTTTGTTATACTGATCACAAAAGCCTTAGCCTTATGAGTATTGTAAAAAAAATGAAACAGTCAGATGTCAACCAAGGCAAGGCTGTTACCATCTGCAACTGCCCCCTAGTCACCAAATGATGTGCGTCACGTGCGTGACGTCATTGAATGGGGCGGAGCTAAAGTTTATGACATTACAGCAGTTTGTCTTTACTTTTTTTAGTCTTTGCTGTGAACCACACTTCATACATATGGAATACTTGTGGTTACAAGTAAATAAGTCAACTGAAAATGTGTTTAGAAAGAACTCATTTAGAGGAGGAGAAATAATATAGTAAATGTTGAGGTTAATAGTAAATATTATTTATCTGCAGAGTTACAATTTTAATCACAGTTGTTGGATCAGGAATCCTTGAGGCGAGAACACTGTTGATTCTCAATAATGAAGTATACTTATGATACAACTCAGTGTGCTGGTTCAGTACTGTATTTAGTATTTCTATATATACCCAGTACAGTGCTGTGTTCAGGCAGGATGCTGCTTGGGGTTGAAATATATCACAAAAAAATCATTTATGGTTGTAACCCTCAAAATAATTATATACTGTACTGTCATAAACAAAAGTTCTCTTACACTCTTGTCTGAAACTGTATCAAATGCAAATGAGGTACTGTACTGTACTCTACTGTACTGTACTACAGCAGGTTGTTGACCTGCTCCAGGAGTTCTAAGTCTCAGGATTGTAAGAGGACTTATTACTATACACATCCTGCACCACTTCCCGAGCACTGTTCATTCATCCCCTGCTCATCCTCCATTCCACCGCCAAGAAGCCAATTAACCTGAATGTTTATTTTTCTAGGTACTGGAAGCATTGGACTACCTACATACAAAATGTCAGATAATCCATACAGACATTAAACCTGAGAACATCCTCATGTGTGTAGATGAGACATACATCAGGAAACTTGCTTATGAGGCAACACAGTGGCAGAAGATGGGGCTCAAACTGCCAGGTTCTCTAGGTATGTCTTGTGTGTGAGCAGTAACAGAACACTATTCTTTTAATTTTTGTAGAGATAAAAGTGATTTTATTTTCCTCTAGTGTTTTATTTTTTGTATATTCAGATAGCTACTTTCATTTCAACTTTTGATTAATTCGTTGACAATTTTTTTTATTTAACAGTGAGCACAGCACCAAAGCATTACTCCCAGCCAGATCCCAATGCCAAGATGTCAAAAAATAAGAAGAAAAAGTTGAAGAAAAAGCAGAAGGCAAAGCAAGCACTTCTTGAAACCCAAATGAAGGAATTGGAGGAGATGGAGGAGAAGGAGGCACGGCAGGCCCTTGAGGCGTGTGACATAGCGACAGCTAACACATCAGGTGCGTCAGTTATAGGGGGCCCTTTTGAGTTGTGTGGAAGCGAAAGAAAAAGGCTGGACCCTTTTGAGTTGTGTAGAAGCGTGAGAAATAGCTGACCTCTTTGAGTTGTTTGGGAGTATGAGAAATGTCTGACCCTTTTGAGTTAGTTGGAAGTGTGAGAACTGGCTGACCCTTTTGAGTTGTTTGGAAATGTGAGAAATGGCTGACTCTTTTGAGTTGTGTGGAGGTATAAGATGAGACTGGCCCATTTTAGCCATGTGGAGGCGTGAGATGCGGCAGATTGTAACTCGGTAGACTCATGAGATGTTCATGGGGTTGAAATAGCTGCCGGCAAAATTGACTGCTTCACCCGCAATGTGGACCAGTTCATATTATTCCCAGAACAAAGAAAAACTACAAACTTGGTCTTAGTGGATCCCTAAACATGTCTGTGTATTTCATCACTTAGTCACTGCAGTTTGTTCTGTTTGTTTCATAATTTACAGCATGTAAGCCATAGCCCCCTGATCCAAAGCTTTTGCAAAGTTTTCTTATTAAATATTGATAAAAAGCTTTTTAGCATGAAGGTGTTGAGTCTCCACTGGTGGGGAGGAACTGTACTAGTATGACTTGGGGTTATTTTTTAAAGCAATATAGACAATTTGGCTTTACCTAGAGAATGGTTAAGCAATGGTGATGTCATATAGAGGTTACTTTGAGATGATGAGTAGTTATGAGATGTTTCATTAAAACAGTTTGGATTACGGTTGGCCCTCAATTGACCGTAGGATCAAGTTCTTGAAAACCTCGTGTGCATCGAATTTGCTCAAATTGAACATCGTGTAATTTATTACAGGAAAAAAGTAGTTCCATTTATGGGTCTCAAAAAAATTGCTGCTGCCCTAAATTTGCAATTTTCAAAAACATAAAAAAAAATTTGGGTCTTAAAATGATAGACAAACTTTATTAAACCTCAAACATGACTGTGGTAGCTGATGGCAGGCTGAGGGAGTACAATCTGTTAATTATGTTTATATCACTGTACTGTAATTGTAATTAACACATACAGACATGTTAAATACAATTAACATTACATTGATATTAACATGATTGGTACAGTACACTGTACAGCATTCACTCCTCAGTCTGTCATCAGCTGACACACTTCGTGCAGTATTGTTTACAAACACTCATCAGAAGTCAGAAACTGGTCCTCAATAAACTTAAAGATTCAGATTTTTTTGATAGTGGCTAATTTTTTATATAATTAATTTACAATATTTTTATTCAAATCATTGATACTGTGGAGAAATAGGCTTCTGTTGGTGCTGGAAAATGAGATTACTGAACTGTACTATGATTCAGAATATATAAAACAGTACTGTGTGGGAGTGTTTGCTCCTAGAATGGAAGAATATTACAGTACAGTGATAAGCTACAGAAAAAATGCTTCCCTTCTAAAAGGAAGAGTGTAAGTAAGGATATAACTTTAGTGCATCTCAAAATATTTTTCACCCTCAACCAAATGGTTAACAGCACGTATGTGTGGCTTCACTCCCTTGGCTTGGCTCTAGGTTCCAAAATATTCTCATTCAATAATCTCAAATTTATTATCTATTAAAACAGTATAGCATTATTACACCAAAAATTTATAAAAAAAACAATTGATATTAAGAAAAATGCAAATGACCTACAGTTTCTTTCTTTTTACAACCAAATAAACAAGAACATTACACCAAACAAATAAGTACAGTGGTCCCTTGGTTAACGAACACAATTCGTTCCACAGAGTCGTTAGTTAACCAAAAATTTCGTTAACCAAATCTATTATTTCAATGGGACATTGGGTAATTGGTTCCAACTCACAGAAAAAGTACATACTAAGTACTGTATACCAGTAATAGAATTAACAAAACACTAAATATAAACTAAATACAGTACTGTACTGTACAATAATAAATAAAAAACAATAGAATACTGTATTTTAACTTACTTTGAGGTGTGTATGTCGTATTACCGGCAGCTTTGTTTACATATCAAACTGCTGATTGTAGAGGCAGTCAATGATGACATGCCATATTCTTTACAGAGTGCATTGGTTCTAATGCCTTCTTCATGTTTCATAATAATTTCTGCACTGTATATTATCAATAGGTTAACTAAATTTCAGAATGACCAGTAATTTTAATGTAAAAATGCAAAAATATTCAAGAGACCAACAAAATCGATGTTCACTCCACTGTAAACAAAATTAAACTGAGAAGCATTGTTGGGTGATTCGGGGATCACTGTGAGAGGCCACAGGGGTGCAGGTAGAACTCGCCCTCCGTCGCTGGTTCTGGCAAACATCACAAGTCCTCTTCTGTTTCTTTATTTTCCACCTTTAACTTCAGATTTAAAGTTTCTTAGGGTTCCCCTCATATGTACTAGTAATCATTTCGTAGTACAATATACACGTTTGCACACACTGCTGACTAGAGTGCAATTATCCGCGGTCTGTGTTCCTGTTCGGGCGCCAATTGTCATGGTTTTCCGTGAATCAGTGGTAGTGGGTGTGGTGTCCCGCCCCCTTTCAGGAGGGAGAGGATGGAGATGACGTCTTAACTATGCCATGGTCATCTGGATACTACCTAAAATGAGGTTTTTGGGTGTGAAGCGATGAACAGTACAACACTGTTTCACTGCCCACCCCCCCTAAAGGCTGGCTAACATACACTAATGGAAAATACATGTCCCAGTTGTGCCTCGCCGGGTGTCTTATCACAGTAAAACAAACTTTGGAGTTGGTTGCGTGGGTAAGCCTAACGCAACCCATGACACCTTAAGGGAGCTAATTCGTTAATAAAAATTTTGTTAATCGAACCGTTCGTTAACCGAGGGACCACTGTATATATTGTACACGTGTTCATAGTGATCAAAGTTAATTATACCTGGCTACTACTCACACTAGAGTAGACCCTCTGGTGTGAGTTTTAGTACAGTAATACAGAACTGAGGTCGTATACTGTACTGTATAATGAAACCTCCATATAACGGACTTCTCTCTCTCTCTGTATAATCCATTAGATTTGGGGTATCATCTAATGGACCCTCGATGTAATGGACAATTTGAAGGTTTACTGTACAGTATTAGGTATGAGTGACTTGTCAGTGTGGTGATCCCATCATATATGCCACTACCTAACCTAACCTAGCTTAGCCTAACAGCATAACCTAACATAACCTAACCTAACCTAACATAACCTAGCTTAGCCTAACAACATAACCTAACCTAGCCTAACAGCATAACCTAACCTAGCATAACAACATAATTTAAACTTGCTTAACAACATAACCTAACCTCACCAAATCCAACCTAACCTACTTAGTACTGTACCAGTATTACCTAATCAAATGTAACCTCAAGATATTTAATACTCGGATATAATAAAACAGGGATGGCTAATTTTCATGTGATACAATAGTTTAGTTTTCATTATATTCATACAAACTTTACTTTATTTTGTGTCGAGATAACCAGGAGTTTACACGGCAGGAGAACAATTTATGAGATTTATATAGTGAGTCATTGTTAAAACAGAGGAGGAACACTAGGAAGTTTTGGGGTTAGGAATAGTGAAGAGAAACTCATCCGTAGGTTGTGTGGCTGTGGTTGTAAAAGGAGAAGAATGTACTGTAAGTTGAAAGGGTTAGCTTGATCAGAGGAGTGTGTGAGTGGGTCCGCTCAAGCCAGGGAACAGTGAGACAGGGTACAGAGACAGGGGAAACAGTGAGAGAGGGGACAGGGAACAGTGAGACAGGGGACAGGGAAACAGTGAGACAGGGAACAGTGAGATAGGGAACAATTAGACAAAAGTTAGCCAGGGAAGACAGGGAACAATGAGACAGGGCACAATGAGACAGGGTACAGAGACAGGGAACAGTGAGACAGGGAACAGTGAGATAGGGAACAATTAGACAAAAGTTAGCCAGGTAAGACAGGGAACAGTGAGTGCCTTAACAATAAATGAAGCGAGAAATAGACTGCAACATGACTAAATTCGTATGACCCTAATCTCACATCCCAAATCTTAAGTACTGCTCAGGCAAATAAAGTACAACCTCATCCCGTTAGAGCTTTTTCTTGGATGACCCTACGTGGAACAAGAGAGTAAATAAAATGTCAGAATCTTAAGAGAAAAGACCCGATTAAGTACATAATTGAGGAAAATCTTGGGATTGCACTTTAGGTTTAGCATAGGTTTACTAGAGACATTAGTTAAATCGGGAGTATATTTACTGAAGATGAAAATTTTGCTTATTTTTGTGTTTTTATTTATTTATTTATTATTTACATTATTGTTGGAGGCTGTAGACTATCTTTTATATTGGCTAGAATCCTGTACCAGTTGTGACAATAGGTTTTTTTATTTTAAATTTGGGATGAGAAAATTGGTGACAGTAAAGAACACAGATACATAAGGTATTGTGTTAAGAATGAAAGTGGATAAAAGGACCAATTGTGTTTATTAATATAATGACCGAAAGGGAAAGTAGGCAGGGTTGGAAGCTGGGTTTAAGCACAGTGAGGGTTCCAGGAGTGTTTGTCCATTTACTTTGGCATGCTCAAGTGCTCCTGGTGTGTATTACCTTAGCCACAGTCCAGTACGAGCTCCTGAACCGTCCGTTATAGCTGTGTGTGTGTTGGCTGGAGTTGTTGTTTATTTCAGTAATACAGTATAACTTATTGAGCTGAGTACAGTATATCCTTGAGTACGAGGACTCGACCGCTGAGTGCAAGACCTTATTGAATTCGAGGGGTTAAGTTAAAGGTGATGGAGGTGTGTGGATGTTGGTAAAACTGAAGTGTGAATGTTGGTAGGACTGAAGTGTGGGAATGTTGGTAGGACTGAAGTGTGGGAATGTTGGTAGGACTGAAGTGTGGGAATGTTGGTAGGACTGAAGTGTGGGAATGTTGGTAGGACTGAAGTGTGGGAATGTTGGTAGGACTGAAGTGTGAATGTTGGTAAAACTGAAGTGTG